CAGACATCCTCAATTTATTCATGTATATAGGACATTATATTGCAAAGCTAGGAATATTTGATTTAAAGTATCTCTAGCTTTAAAATTCGAGGAGATCCGTGGTTATGCAATGGACAGACACAAGTATGTTTACCAGACATTCCTCAATATATCATGTGTATAATGCACTATATTGTGAAGCTAGGGGTGCTTGATTTAAAGCATCAATAGCTTAAAATTTCTGAGGTGATCCGTGGCTGTGCAATAGATAGATATAAAGTTTTTGACCAGACATCCTCAATTTATTCATGTATATAGGACATTATATTGCAAAACTAGGAATATTTGATTTAAAGTATCTCTAGCTTTAAAATTCGAGGAGATCCGTGGTTATGCAATGGACAGACACAAGTATGTTTACCAGACATTCCTCAATATATCATGTGTATAATGCACTATATTGTGAAGCTAGGGTGCTTGATTTAAAGCATCAATAGCTTAAAATTTCTGAGGTGATCCGTGGCTGTGCAATAGATAGATATAAAGTTTTTGACCAGACATCCTCAATTTATTCATGTATATAGGACATTATATTGCAAAGCTAGGAATATTTGATTTAAAGTATCTCTAGCTTTAAAATTCGAGGAGATCCGTGGTTATGCAATGGACAGACACAAGTATGTTTACCAGACATTCCTCAATATATCATGTGTATAATGCACTATATTGTGAAGCTAGGGGTGCTTGATTTAAAGCATCAATAGCTTAAAATTTCTGAGGTGATCCGTGGCTGTGCAATAGATAGATATAAAGTTTTTGACCAGACATCCTCAATTTATTCATGTATATAGGACATTATATTGCAAAGCTAGGAATATTTGATTTAAAGTATCTCTAGCTTTTTAAAATTCGAGGAGATCCGTGGTTATGCAATGGACAGACACAAGTATGTTTACCAGACATTCCTCAATATATCATGTGTATAATGCACTATATTGTGAAGCTAGGGGTGCTTGATTTAAAGCATCAATAGCTTAAAATTTCTGAGGTGATCCGTGGCTGTGCAATAGATAGATATAAAGTTTTTGACCAGACATCCTCAATTTATTCATGTATATAGGACATTATATTGCAAAGCTAGGAATATTTGATTTAAAGTATCTCTAGCTTTAAAATTCGAGGAGATCCGTGGTTATGCAATGGACAGACACAAGTATGTTTACCAGACATTCCTCAATATATCATGTGTATAATGCACTATATTGTGAAGCTAGGGGTGCTTGATTTAAAGCATCAATAGCTTAAAATTTCTGAGGTGATCCGTGGCTGTGCAATAGATAGATATAAAGTTTTTGACCAGACATCCTCAATTTATTCATGTATATAGGACATTATATTGCAAAACTAGGAATATTTGATTTAAAGTATCTCTAGCTTTAAAATTCGAGGAGATCCGTGGTTATGCAATGGACAGACACAAGTATGTTTACCAGACATTCCTCAATATATCATGTGTATAATGCACTATATTGTGAAGCTAGGGGTGCTTGATTTAAAGCATCAATAGCTTAAAATTTCTGAGGTGATCCGTGGCTGTGCAATAGATAGATATAAAGTTTTTGACCAGACATCCTCAATTTATTCATGTATATAGGACATTATATTGCAAAACTAGGAATATTTGATTTAAAGTATCTCTAGCTTTAAAATTCGAGGAGATCCGTGGTTATGCAATGGACAGACACAAGTATGTTTACCAGACATTCCTCAATATATCATGTGTATAATGCACTATATTGTGAAGCTAGGGTGCTTGATTTAAAGCATCAATAGCTTAAAAATTTCTGAGGTGATCCGTGGCTGTGCAATAGATAGATATAAAGTTTTTGACCAGACATCCTCAATTTATTCATGTATATAGGACATTATATTGCAAAACTAGGAATATTTGATTTAAAGTATCTCTAGCTTTAAAATTCGAGGAGATCCGTGGTTATGCAATGGACAGACACAAGTATGTTTACCAGACATTCCTCAATATATCATGTGTATAATGCACTATATTGTGAAGCTAGGGGTGCTTGATTTAAAGCATCAATAGCTTAAAATTTCTGAGGTGATCCGTGGCTGTGCAATAGATAGATATAAAGTTTTTGACCAGACATCCTCAATTTATTCATGTATATAGGACATTATATTGCAAAACTAGGAATATTTGATTTAAAGTATCTCTAGCTTTAAAATTCGAGGAGATCCGTGGTTATGCAATGGACAGACACAAGTATGTTTACCAGACATTCCTCAATATATCATGTGTATAAGGCACTATATTGTGAAGCTGGGGGGTGCTTGATTTAAAGCATTAATAGCTTAAAATTTCTGAGTGATCCGAGACTGTGCAATAGATAGATATAAAGGTTTTGACCAGACATCCTCAATTTATTCATGTATAAAGGACATTATATTGCAAAGTTAGGAATATTTGATTTAAAGTATCTCTAGCTTTAAAATTTGAGGAGATCCGTGATTATGCAATGGACAGACACAAGTATGTTGACAAGACATTCCTCAATATATCATGTGTATAAGGCACTATATTGTGAAGCTAGGGGTGCTTGATTTAAAGCATCAATAGCTTAAAATTTCTGAGGTGATCCGTGGCTGTGCAATAGATAGATATAAAGTTTTTGACCAGACATCCTCAATTTATTCATGTATATAGGACATTATATTGCACAGCTAGGAGTACTTGTTTTAAAGTATCCCTAGCTTCCAAATCCATGGAGATCCGTGCCTATGCAATGGATAGGCACTAATTCGTTGACCAGATATTCCTCAATATATTCATGGATATAAGGCATTATATTGTTAAACTAGGGTACTTGATTTAAAACATCCCTAGCTTCAAACTCTTTGGAGATACGTGTCAATACAAAGGCTCAAATTTGCTGGCCGGACATTCCTCAATATATCCATGTAGGAAAGTCATCTTATTGTACTTAAATGGGGTTACTTCCTTAAGAAGGTGGTCGTTTCAAATTGTGGAGGCACAGGATGTGTGTTTTACATCCAGCCTCCTATGGTATGCCATGTATAACGGAGAATCCTCATCATCAATGGCGCAACAGCCCCATGGTTCGCCAAAGCCATCTGCCTGCTGGCAGATTTATAAACGGCGGATTATTTTTTTTTACTTGGTAGGTTTGTTTATGCCGCCGGGACTCGAACCCGAAACCTGTGGCACCGAGATCCAGAGCGTTAGTAACGGATAATCAGCTATATATATCACATTAAATGCATGTAAAGAACAAAGCAGATTGATTTGTGTTGAATTGTTCAGTTAATCAACAATTGTAACAATTCAATAATTTATAAAATTTCAAATTTCGTACAGAGTTCAATACTTTGCTAATATTTGAGTAAAGATGAGCACAAACCATAGATGAATTTGAATTGAAATATTCAGTAGATTATCAAATGTAAATGTTATATCTACTTTTTTCTTCTTTGGCGCAACATCTTTATGGTGGGCCAAGGCTGTCTGCCTACTGTCAAATATCGACAAAGGAGATGTTATTCTTTTTACTGGGTGGGGATGTCAGTCCTAAGCCCAAAGCCCTACATTCATATTAAAGAGGGACCTACGGATTAAAGTGGATTCCGAATCACTACAACATCAATGGCACAACTGTTACTTGAACCCAAAACCTGTGATACCCAGTGCCAGAGCGCTAGTCACTGAACCATCAGTATGCAATATGATATAATACATATTTGTAAGAATGCAATTGAAAGTCATTAAATAAATAAATCAAGTAAAACATAACAAGTAGTAATTAGTAGCACTTAAAACATGTAGAGCAACAATAATTTCAATGACAAAAGCTTTAATTGTTTTATCTTGATAACATCTATTCTCAGTTAATCTGCAACAGTCTAATTACTATTTTTAATTAATTACTTGTTACTAATACGAATTGATACTGCATATATTTTTCGTGTTAATTGTCACCTGGATTGTTTGTTGTATTTTCTAAATCAATTGAGAAAGACAATCCAATTTACTTAGACACTGTTGTGAATTCTATTTTGAAGTTGCTAGGAACAAGCAAAATAAATGAAATTCGCTAATTAAATTGTGGGACATATTCCAGACATGCAAAGAATCTCTTATTCACTAACACCAGATTACAACAGAATGATCGAACGCTTTTGTCAAAGGATTAAATATTTATAACAAGCTCTGACTAGTTTACGATGAGTTGACATATTTTAAATATCAATTACAACTTTTGTTTAAGTTAAATTCACAAAGTTTGAGAACTATATTCTATCACAGAAGATGTACAGTGAAATTACAATAGTTCGAGAAACTTCAAAATGTGCTATATATTAATTTAAAGACTTTTTAAATTTATCTCAACTTTAAGTCACTAATATCTCAAAGAATTAATGAAATGTATTTTTAAAAGACTTTTCATTTTAAATAGTTTGTATTATATTATAATTAGCATGCATTTAAAAACTATTTTGGTCACATATTAACCAAATATTAGGCTGGATATTTTTTAGTAAATTAATTCAAATAAATAAATAACAATACAAGAATACTATAATAAGCAATACAGGGAAAATAATAGCAAACATCAATAATAACAACAATACAAATATAAATAATATATAAATACAAATAATGATAATATAAATAATAATAAAAACAATACAAAAATAAATAGTAATACAAGAACGTATAGTTTGCAATACGATTTTAAACAATTCATTAAATATATTTTTAACAGACATTTTATTTTTAATAGTTTTTAATATACAATGATTAATATTTAGTCGAAAACATATTTTGGACACATACTAAACCAATTATTAGGCTAGATAATTTTTTTAAAACATTAAATCAAATAAATAAATACAAAAATGCAATGATAAACAATACAAGACAAATAATAATAACAACAATATAAATAATAATAATGTGCTTATAAAGTTTACACTAAGATTTCGCCAACGGCCGTACCATGCTGAATATACCGGTTCTCGTTAGATCACCGAAGTCAAGCATCATTGGGCGCGGTCAGTACTTGGGTGGGTGACCACCTGGGAACACTGCGTGCCGTCGGCAAATTTGGGACCTGAATGGCCGGGTTCGGGTCACAGGTTTCGGGTTCGAATCCCGGCGGTGCCATGGATGTTTGTAGTGGTTCGGAATCCACTTTAAGCCGTAGGTCCCAGTCTCCTATGACTGTAAGAGCGTCACGGAGCAAAAGTCAGGCTTCTACCTACGGGTGCTCCATCACAACAGAAGCTGCGTCCTTCCCCTTCAATCATGAGTACGTATGGGCTCGTGGGCTTGGACAGCCAAGTGGGATAAGAAACAACAACAACAACACACTAAGATTTCAAACAATTAATTTAATATATTTTTAACAGACATATCATTTTAAATAGTTTCTATTCTATTAATATAAACATGTATTCAAAAATGTATTATGGCCACACAATGGTCAATCGGCCTCGGAACTCTCACTCCAGAGGAAATAGAATGCAACTTGCGCTCTCGCCTTTTGTTTATAGTCTCTCATCCTGAGAAGAAATATATTTAACTCAACTCTGCGTATTAGTTGGCTTACAGACTTTCGCCCGGAGAGGAAGTATATTTCGCACACCCTGCGCGTAACTGAGTATAGGGTATTCGGGATAGATGTGGAGTCCTTCCATGAATCTATAATTATCTGTCTTTGAATATGTAAACTATTGTATGTTTCTAATTATGTGTGCGTTTTGTTTGTGTAAATAAAGCTGTGAGTTCTCAAACCTAAACCTCAAGTATCTGAACCCAGCCACACTCAGTTACAAACGGGTTGCCTTACCAGCATCCTACAAGATTTATTTTCAAAAATTCGCGTAAAAATGATTACAAAAATAGTATACTAAAACGGAGACAATTATTATATGAATTCAAAATTAAAAAAATAATGCTGACGTTTTTCAATGCGCAATCATTTAAGTAATCCTGAAAATTAAGAATTTCCTTAATTGAAAGGAGCATGCAATTATGCGAAATACTTAATTTTTCATAATTTGTTTTCCTAATAATATATATATATATTGAAGAGTTTTTTGTACCCCAAAATTTTGACTGTTAGATAAAAAAAAAAGAAAGAAAGAAAATAAATAAAAAATTTATAAATAAATAAATAAGTATATAAATAAAAACAGTTTATTTTAATCTATTATTACATCATTAGCATAACAATAGTTTTTTTTTCTTTCTAATACAGCTGGCAAACACTTATATAGCTTGGTCTTGGACGCCTTAAGGCAAGCGCTTCACAGACGTTACTCACTTTGCGTTACCCAGGGGGCGCGTACCGCTTGAAGATAAGCCACGGACGCGGAGTAACAATGCCCCCGCAACGCTCTACGATCCTATTAAACCGGGGCCTACGGTTTAAAGTGGATTCCGAACCACTACACACATCCATGGCACCGCCCGGACTCAAACCCAAAACCTGTGGTACCGAGCGCCAGAGCGCTAGCCACTCGACCATTCAAGCCCGGCATAACAATAGTTAAAATGTTTATTTAAAACTGACTAAAGTTTAAATAAAACCTTTGGAAAGTAAAATGTTAATTGTATAACACAAATCATCATTGCAAATAAACCAGTTTGCAATTACCTAGAGTCTTTTAAGTTATTTATACAATGCAGGGCTCTATACCATTTTGCTCATAATTAAAAAGAAGATCTAAAACTGGAATGTTGCTTCTAATGCGGGCTAATGAATGCTTCTAAAACGGGAATGTTGACAAACACTTTGTTCTTTCATTTAATTTATTTGTTAATGGTAAAGTAACTCAATGTACTTAAAAATTAATTGCTTGGATATAAATTTTGCTTCGCCATGCTGTATTATTTTAACGATTAAAATGAAGTTAAAACATTGTTTCCTAATTGCGTTGCTAATACGGATAATTCAGAAAAACTATTTGTTAAGCTAAAGCAAAATGATGTAACAGTGAAATATGGTTTTAACAATCATTCGATTTTTGAAGTACAATGTTTTTGTTTGTTATTGGGTTATAAATAAGGTCGTTTTAAATTACGTGAAATAAATTGTATAAGAGAGAAACAAATAAAGCAAAACAGTGAAACATTATTTGCAAGACACGGCTAAATCAATAAACGTTGCATAGATAAATCTGTTTTATGTTGAGAATTAGATAAAAAATTATTATAATGCAGATTCTGAGGTAATATGCTTTTAACTATTATATATCAATAAGATTATAATTAAAATTAGTATAGATAAATTTTAAAAAGTGTATTATCTTAGGGGTCTGATGGAGGAGTGACTAGCGCTCTTTCTCTTGGTGTCACAGGTTTCGGGTTCAAGTCCCAGCGGTGCCATAGGTGTCCGAAGTGGTTTGGAATCTACTGTAATCAGTAGTTTCCGGTCTAATATGACTGTAGAGCTGACAACCCTACCGCTTAAAAACAAAACATTTATTGTCTAGAATTCTGATAGCAGGCAGACGACATGGCCCAGCATGGGATTCCTGTGCCACTGACGATAATGTACACTATAAGGAAGAAAGTGACGGGACACGACACTATAACGACATAAACCCATATTTATTAAAATTAATAGGAGGTAGGGCCTCCTTTGGCTGCGAACACAGCTGCAACCCTTCTGGGCATGCTTTCCACTAAATTAGCCATAGTGGTAAGAGGAATTTCCTTCCAAATGTTTAACAGGAAGTTCCATACTTCAGGCCTGCTTTTGGGGAGTGGGGTGCAGACCCTCAACAGATGGTCCAATTTGTCCCAGAGATGTTCAATTGGGCTAAGATCAGGGCTCTGCGCCGGCCACTCCATGCGTTTAACGTTGTTGTTCACATAACAATCAAGAGTCCTCCTTGCAACATGGCATGTTGCGTTGTCGTCTTGATACCAGCTATCATACATACCGTACGTTGCCCACAAGGTAGGAAGGACATGATTGTCGAGAATATCACAGTATCTATCGGCATTCATCACACCATCAACCTTCACCAGTGGGCCAGCCCCATACCAGGAGAAACAGGCCCATACCATCAATCCTCCTCCACCAAACTTACAGTTGGGACGGGTAAACGCCATACCAAAACACGTCCATCGGAACGGAAAAGGGTAAATCGGGACTCGTCACTCCAAAGGACGCGTTTCCAGTCATCCAGAGTCCAAGTACGGTGGTCTTTGGCCCATCGAAGACGCGCTTTCTTGTTTGTTTTCGTAATCAAAGGCTTATGGGCCGCCGAACGTCCAGTGTAACCTAACTTATGGGCCTCGATACGAAGAGTCTTGGTCGAAACAGCCACACCTGTGGCTTGTCAAAACTCATTAGCGATGTTATCCATGGATGTTTGACGGTTACTTCGAATTTCCCTGCCAAGCACCCGCCGGTCCCTGCTGGTGAGAACTGTAGGTCGTCCACTTTGGAGTTTGTTCTGACAGTGTCCCTCAGTCTTGTAGCGACACACAACCCGTGCTACAGTTGATTTTGAGTAGTTACGGAGACGGGATATCTCCCTAATTGCCACCTTGGCAAGATGCAATCCAACCAACACACCTTTCTCGAACTCAGACAACTCTTCCCGTGGCGGCATCTTGACAAAAAACAACTCTATTCGAATCAACAGAGTATTTATAGGATATGGCTAACACGTGATACCTATTATTGCGCATGTGTCAGCTGTATTGTCGACTTTTCTACTTTTCGAGGGGTGTCCGTCGCTTTCTTCCAGATAGTGTATTATCTTAGGTGTTTTATAAGCTTGTGCGAAGATGTGTTTATATTTAAATTAGTATCTAAAGTGTTTGCATGCTTTTTACACTGCGATTAATGAAACTGATTTAAAATTCGTAACATTAAAACAAATAAAAACGGGTAATAATTAAATAGAAAATAGAATCATTAATGAAAATTAAAAAAAAAAAAAAAACTACTCAGATTTACTTTTTTTTAAATCAATTGAAATCACCAGTAAAATTTGAAATGAAAAACGTCTTAATCAGAAGAAAAACAAAACTCTTCATTTTAAGTTCTCAAATAGTTAATATCTAGCGATCTGCTTATTGGTACCACAAACTTCGTGTTCGAGTTCGTGTGGGGCCATGGATGTTTGTAGTGTTCGGAATCTACTTTAAACCGTAGGTTCCAGTCTCATTTAAATGTAGAACTTTTGGCTGAAAAATCTACCTCGTAAATAAATAAAACATCTACTGTGTAGAAATCTGACAGACAGCATACAGCCTTGACCCACCATGGGAGAATTGCGCCAAAGATCATCATGAAATAATTAAAATAATTTGATTAAAAGTAAACAAATACAACTAACTTAATATATTTTCGTATTAGTGTTTCACAAATTTAGTTCGTTTTATTAATTTCAATTTAAGAACACTTAACATTATAAATTTTTCTTCTTTTTCATTGGCCAAACAAATCACGTTTACGGGTTTGGGATCATCCCTACGCCCGACACTCTACAATCATATTAGACCGAGACCTACTGTTTAGAGAGGATTCCAAACCACTATAAACATTCATATCATCGCCGGGACTCGAACCTGAAAGCTGTGGCACCGAGCACCAGACACAGTATGAATATATAGTTATATAATTAATTCAAAATTAATACCACTTTAAGTAAATATATATATATATATATATATATATACATACAATTACTTTACAATTTCGTTTAAATATTATATATATATATATATATACTAAGTAATAAATAAATATATATGTATATATATATATATATATACTAAGTAATAAATATTTCTTTATTTAAAACTAATTTTAATAAAGCAAAGGGTGATGATTTTTTATGAAGTTGGTTTTAAGTTTTGTCTAAGCTTCTTAAATAAAAGCAAAATTATAGAAAATCCTTTATCCACGTGTGTGTTTATATGTATTTGTGTGTATTTACTAGAAGAATTTCTTGTAATTACACATAGATTTTTAAAATAAATGTGTTTAGTTATAAATTCCTTCAGGACCAAGAAACACAACTGCATTTTCCTCATGAATTCTGGGAAAAACGCTCCATAAAGTCCTTTTAAAA